AAAAAAAAAAAAATATTTAGCATATTTGGTCCATGGCCAAATAATGTTCGTGACTACAAAAAAATGATGAAATTCCAACGGAAATACATTTCAAAAGAATTATTTCAACGGCAATTCCAACGGATATTTCAATATTATTATTTCTGTTGGAATTTTTCAATAGATTCCAACGGAAATTCCAACGAAAATATTCTGTTGGAATGAGTTTTCCGTTGGATTTTGACGATTCCAACGGTGGATTTTCCAACGGGGGTGGAAAAAAAAATTCCAACGGAATTTGCATATTCCAACGAAATTCCTACGGTAAAAAGCCGTTGGAAATATAGCCGTTGGAATCATCAAATTCCATCCAAAATTCCAATGAAAAACACATTCCAACGAAATATTTCCGTTGGAATTTCTGTTGGAATTATTCCAACGGAAGCTATTCCACTGGAATATCCGTTGGAATTTCCATTGGAATATATTATCATAGGAATTTCCGTTGGAATATAACATTTATTTTGTAGTGCGTCCCGGGTTTGCCCCCATCAAATTTATATACTTGTAACTTTTTAAGCACCTCAATAAGAAAAATGTGAATATTAAGTATTTTATGAAAGAAAGTGAGTGGAAATTTTCGTTGTGAGGGATATCTACTGCTACGAAGTCATAGTAATAGAAAAAAAGTGAGTGGAAATAGTTGTTGTGTGGATGTCTACGTACTATTACGAAGTCATAGTAATCAAGGTTCTCAAAATCGAACCGGTTAAGCTACTAGTTCAATGGTTCACTGGTCGGACTAGTGATTGAACCGATCAAACCAATTTAATTAATATATAATTTTTCTTTATTTATTTTATATGTATAATATATAATGGTATATAATTTTATTATTCACATTTAGTATATAATGGCATTTCTATACATAGTTCAATAATCAATATTTTACTAGTAGTTTAAAACATGTTTGTAATTGTATTTTAATTTTCTTTTCAGCTTTTACATGTAAAGAATAAAAATAAAAAATCAATTTTGGGTTTTAATCTTGATCAAAGTTGAAATATTCATTGGTTGTGCACTTCAAAGTCATACAATGACAAAATTGAGTAACAAACATAACAAAATTAATTTGTATTTTATTTTTATTATTATTTTCAGCTTTTATTATGTAAAGAATAAAAACTTAAAAACCAATTTTGAGTTTCGATTTTGTAAATTTAAAAAATTCATGGGATTGTGCATTTCAAAGTCATACAATGAGAAAATTGAGGAAAAAAAATTCCAAGAATCTTCCTTGCCATTACACTAAAAACAAAATGTTATTAGACAGAGACTAAACCAATAACTTTTGTACCAAATGTTGTCCAAAATGGTAAACTGCCTAACCGGTTGAACTGCTACTGGTTTTTAACCGCTTTGTGCGGTTTTTGAGTCCAGCGGTTTAATACCAAAATTGGACGGTGTTTTGGCTGGTTTCCAGTTGAACCGGCCGGTGAGATCCGGTTTTCTAAACCATGATAGTAATAGTGAAGCGATCAACTCAAAGCCCCTTGGTTGGATTTTTGTGACATGACGAGTTGCTTTTGAAGATCTGACAATGTGCAAATGCGCGAGTATATAACTATATATATATGGGCTAGCAAAAGAGAAAAAGGACAGATGAGAAAATTAGAGAAACCAAAAAACAAGAAAAAACAAGAATATGATAGTTCTTTGAAAAGAAAAAAAAAAAAAATTGTTATCAAAATAGTAAAAGAGAGGAAAAAGGAGATAATTTTACTAGTTATATAGAATGCATTCTAATTTTGAGTGTTCAGTTCGCAACTCCGTTTTCGTTCGCTGGAACTCGTAAGTATGATGTGTCATAGATTTCGAGACAATTGTCGTTGTAGCTTTAGGAACAATACGTCTGATCCGTCAGCACTACACGGGGCGTATTCGTCTTACGGAGAGAGTTTAGTCGTCTCGGCTATAATCTTTCTAGTTTTCAAAGTGTAATTTATTTTCAGTTCTATTACAATTTTTTTTTTTTTTTATTTATAATAAGAACTGAAAAAAACACTTTACATCGTATGATTTCCGTATATTTGAACACTCAATTTCGAACATTTTATTTGATTTTTTAAAACCAAAAGGTATATTTAACAATTAATCACGGCGAAAATAAAGATCAAACTCCATTCATTCAGAAGAACCAAAGTATTTAACTGCTGCAGTTGACATTTTGCGTAGTAGAGCCCCTGACTTTTTTCTGAATATCAATAATCTCACTTTATTTCCCAACTTCTACAGAAAACACAGAGATACCACTAATTTACAGCTCATATTTTTATGAGTTGTTAATTAAACTTATTCAATTATATCATTAAATTTTCCATTTTGCTCTGTTGACATTAACTTTGAGTCAAACCCGAGAGACCCGTGAGATTTATATTATAAATTTATTTTGTTTTATAGTACTAAATATCTTTTGCATCCCCAATTAAATTATTTAAAATTCCACCGCATTTGACCTATTATAATGATGCATATCCAGGTGTGGACACTCGGGTCCGGTTTGTCCGATGAGAGCCGCCACAGACCCGACAAAAGCGGCGTTCATATACGTCGTGGGCTCCAGGTGCGAGAAATCGGTTCTCGAGTCGGTAAACTGGTCGTTTGGGCCTGGGCCTCCAACTACTGCGCCCACATGAGTATTTGGGTTTGGATTGGGGGAATTGTACCAAGCTGAGAGTCCATCTGAGCAGCCCACTTTTGCAGGGTGGTTGCGGATCGAAGGGATTGAGGCGCCCCTGTGGTGTAACTGGGTCGGGTATTTGGCGCCAAATCCAACCATATATGACATGTTCAGGGGATTGGCTCCAAGAATGTAGTCCACCTGCAAAACCCAAATAGTTCGGTTTTGAAGTTTTCCTTGCTATTTTCAAAAATAATATTTCTTCTAAATAACCTGTGATTTTGCAAAGGCTTTGATATCGGTGGGTGAAAAATTAAGCGATCCACAACGAACACCATCAAGACGAGCCTCGGTTAGAATCTTGGAGTAGACGAGAAGCAGCATTGTAGCGCTCGTGACATATTGTAGGTTACTCCCGTCTCTCGTGTACAGAAGCCCGCCTGCAAATATCGATTACGCGTGCATATCAAATTTTACGTATCTCTATATATTTATGATATTGTCTTGATTCAAATTAGCTAACCAGGGGTTGTCCTGATCTGGACAGAGCTACTTTCCGGCATCAAGGCACAAACAAATGAATCGGCGCCGGTTTTATATGTTGACAGAGTTGTTTTTCCAGCAAGAAATTCCTGCAAATGATACAAAATTGCTAAAGAAATGTTGTCAAGAGTCAAAATAAAATAAAAGTAGGGGAATTTTTGGAATATTTATAGATATAAATAGTTGAATAACACTAGCCTTTGCTAGTAAGATTTGAGCTCCGGCAAATTTGTTGTCCCAACTAAACTCGTTAACAGCTTGGCTCCAGCCCTTATTGGTGGAGACATAGTTTAGATATGTGTTATTACCACTTGCTCTATACAGCCAAGCTGCTGCCCAGATTAATTCATCCTGAGACATGAGTTTAAACCATAATTAGCAGGCATTTATAATTAATAACAATAATAATACACATTAATGAATGTAATTACCTGATAACCTGAGAAAGAGCAGTAAAATGGGCAAGACCCTTGATAAGAACCTCTATAGTTATCCGCAAACTCAAATAGCTGCCGAGTGATCAGGGCCATTAATCAAGTAAGTCGAATTGTAAAATGTACATACTGCTCGATTTTAATTGTTATAGAGCAGTTTTTTTTTTTTTTTTTTTTTAAAACAAAAGTTAATGGATAGTTTTACCATTTATCCTAACTTACTACTAGGCATAATGTATATTTTTGGCTCATAATAAAGTATATATGACACGGACCGATTTAGAATTCGTAATGAGTGTGGCGGAGTAGTTTGAATCAGCCGCTCTGAACACAATGGATGCGGCAGCTAAGGCGGCAGCAGCCTCGGCAGCCGCCTCTGTTCCGGGCGAAGTTGGAGTGACTTTATAAAGGGTACGAGGCGTGTCCATATCCTCCGGCCGCTCCCAGCACGTGTGGTCCCTATTCGCCTCACCCACCTATCAAACCAATATGATTATATGAATATATTTAATAAATAATAATAATAATAAAAATAAATAATCGTGATGATGAGCTGACTCTAGCTTCTAATGCTTGGTCGGGCAAATGAGCTGATAAACTAGCTCGTCCTCAAATTGTTTCTAAAAATATTAAAAATTACATAAAAATTCATATTTTTAAGCCTTGCGAGCAGCTTACGAACGTCTCGTTTCATTTAATAATCATCACCTGAGTGTAGAATGTGGTAGAAGAAGTGTGGGCTTTAAGTAAGAAATCTGTTCCCCATCTTATCGCTGTTTGGAGGCTGCTAAGCTGTTGGGCCGACTGTAAGTCGTTTTTGTATTCAACAGCAGCCCAACTCAATAAGCCTACTGAAAACGCCATGGGCCATACAAACTTCACATTATCGCCTGCATCATAGTAGCCTCCACTCAAATTGACCTAAAATTTAGTAGGACACCGAAAAAAGTTAAAAATCCACACTCGAGACTCCTCAAAGTGTTGCTGAACTAATTTTTACCCAAACTCGGATTGGTGATATGTATATTTTATATTTAATTATTTATCATGTACCATCTCTAATGTTGTATGATTATTAAAATAATAATAATAGAAAAACAAAGATATAAAATTAAACCGTTACTTTAAGACCAAGAAGAGTAAATAAATACGGTTATTTATTGTTGAAATT